TGCTGTAGCTGCATTGATATTAGGCATATTATACTTTGAAGTGAAAACAAAACATTGATAAAGAAGATAAACAAGATCATACATATTAACATGCATTGACTGACGTAATTTTAAAAGATTTAAGGCACATATTAACACACCTGCAAGGTGAAACTGATATATCTACTTATCCTCTATTGGGAGAATTTAATATATCTCTCTTAGAAAGATAATTTATCAAGAAGGAATATCAAGAAATAATATCAAGATATATCAAAAACAAACAAAATAGGGGAAGATTCATATGCAATGTGTAGCAAAATTGCCAAAAATGATGTAATGGATATAAATTGAATTCTATATCCCACAATTCTAAATGCATCATTTTTAAACCCTATTGGGAATAATGATATATCCAAAGCAAATAAAGCAAATTTTAAGTTTCAAATCATACAAAGAGGCCAAAATCTTTATCAAAACACAATTAACCTAGAAATTTGTAATAAAAAAATTCTTAGAAAGTCATGTGTGTGTGTGTGTGTGTGTGTAAGATTAAAAATTGTTTATAACCAGGCATGGTGGGGCACAGCTGTGATCTCAAGTAATCTGGAAGCTGAGGCAGGAGGATCACAAATGCTGAGCCAGACTTCATAACTTAAGAAGACCCTATCTTAAAATTAAAATAAAAAGGGTTGGGGATGTAGCTCATTGATAGAACACCCGGGGGTTCATTCCTCAGCTCAGGACTGATAAAACATTGCTTCTATATTACCTATGATTTTAAAAAATACAACAAATATTATTAAGGTAAGGAAGGAAGGTAAGGTAAAGTAAGGAAGGAAGGAAGGCAGTCAGGCAGGCAGATAAGCAACCAAAACCTTCTTATTAAAGAATTTTAGAAGGTGGAGCTTTATCTCCTTGAAGGCAGATAAGACTAAAGTTACATAACTCCAAATAACATTCTAGAAAGTGAAATATATTACATTACCAGGGGGAAACCATGGAGATAATGCCATACCTAAGTAACCAGGTTAACATCAGCAATGATAAGTGAGATAGACAGCATGTGCCTTCTGGTATGACAACAAGGACAAATGACCTTTGGAATTCTCCCTCCAAATTCATAACTTCAGTGCAATCATGAGAAAAGATTTGCAAAGTTTAATTTGAGAGACATTCTACCAAAAAATACATGACCAGCACTCTTCAAAACCATCAAGTAAAAAAAAAACACAAGAGAGAAACATACAAAGTTCAGATTTGTACAGATTCAGTTTGTAAAGAGACACTACAATTAAATGCAATGTGCATATCCTGAAAGGGACGTGAAGTGGAAAAACTGCTAGCATCCAATTAAAATCTGTAATTTAGTTAATAGTATTGAGCAAGTGTTAAATTCTTAGTTATGGAATGTACCATTGTTACATGAGATGCTAAAATCAGAGGAACCTAGATTAAGTGTTTATGGAAACTTTCTGTACTCTTTTTTCTACATTCTGTAAATCCAAAGTTCTTCCAAATTTTAAACTGATTTTAAAAAGGCAAACTGTTGGGCTAGGGTTGTGGCTCAGAGGTACAGTACTTGCCTAGCACGTGCAAGGCCCTGGGTTGGATCCTCAACACCACATATAAAAAATAAATAAAATAAAAAAGGCAAACTGTCTAAAATTGGCAAGAAGATAGTTGCCTAATAACACAATCAACCACTTAACAAGAATTGGAAAAGAAAGAGTAAAAGAATATAAAGGAGGAAAGAAATCCTTTTTTACTTGTCATAAGCCAAACGATTGTTTGCATAGATCTAAAATAATTCCCAGAACAATTGTTAAAATAAATAAAAGAGCTTAATGAGTCTGCCAGATAAAAAGATCAACACAAAAATTGACTGCATTTTCATACACCAGCAATATACAATTAACAGTTTTCAAAAAGAGATGCTTAGTAACAATGTATTAGTAATCTAGAATTAAATCTAAATAATGGATGTACAACATCTTCATAAATAAAAATTTAAAACCATATAAATATAAAAGAAGACCCCAATAATTGGAGAAACGTAAAATTCTCAAGGATAAGCAGAACCATTATTACAAAGATGTCAATTTTCTTCAAAATGATCTACACATTCAAACCTACTGGAGTAATCATTGCAACAGTTTTCAAGGGATTTTACAACCTATTTCTAAAGAATATATTGGAAGTCAAAAATGTTCCCAAAGGGGGAAAAATGAGGTTAGTCTTCCCCAGTGTCATTCAATTAAGATTCACACAAGCAACCAAAGGAACAGAACAGAGTGCAGAACAGATCAGACCACATACAGAAATTTCCACATCCTTAGGAAAGGAGCAGTATTCAATAAATGATGATGGGATGCTACTGGACTATTAAAAAAAAAAGTCATAGACCACAGACAAAAACCAATTGAGTGGATCAAGGACTTAAATACAAAAAGCAAAATTTAGGTAGTCCAACAGACAAATGAAAACTAGACAAGAGATGTGACAAGGCATTTCAGAGAAAAGGGAACAAGAATGACCACTAATAAATGAAAATTTCTCAACCCCTTTAGTAACCAAGAAAACAAATTCAACTTAATGATAAGATAACAATTTCATATTATCAGAACTTTAAAAAGACATCTCAAAAGTTGTTAAGAATATTGTACAACAGAAATTTTTGAGTCTTAGTAGATGGGTAAACTGGTCACTTTAAAAATAATTAAACTCTACCTAGTAAAGTTGAAAATGTAAGTATCTTTTTTAAAAAAATAAAAAAATTGTAGTTGTAAATGGACAGAATGCCTTTATTTTATTTGTTTATTTTTATGTGGTGCTGAGGATCAAACCCAGTGCCTCATGCATGATAGGCAAGCACTGTGCCACTGAGCTACAACCCCAGCCCAAAAATATAAGTATTTTAAGACTGCTGTCTCATCATTCTTAGATGCAGACAAATTTTCTTGCATTTGTACACAGGAGAGCTAGAAACAAGCTAACTGTTCTTCAAAGTAGAAGAGACAGAAAAATTTAACTAGTTATCCAATGGAACATTAGACATCAAGGAAAACAAGTGATCTAAGCTATGAGCATCAACATGAACTAATATTAAAAACATAATACCATTAGGTTTTCCTTGTTTTGAAATATGTATCAAGTCACAAAAAATCATGATATTAATCCACTGATACATATTCTAAAACAGGCTAACAATAAACTATGTATCATAGGACAGTATGAGGAAAACATACACATGTTGAAAATTATTGAGAAAATCAGGAAAAAAGTGAAGAATTTAGGACAATGATTATATTCACAGAGAGAAGATGATCAGGGAGGAACATGAAAAGGGGACCTCAAAAGCACTGAAAGGATCACTTTTCTAAAGTTAAGTCACATTCTGGGTAAGGTTGTATCACACATTACTTGTGACATGCAGGACTGATAGTTTATTTTTATTATTTAATAATGTACATTACACACACATAAATATGTACATATGTACACACATATAGTATGCTTCCTTTTCTGTAGAACTACCATTTAGGTGAGAAGTTGTCACATGGGCCCTCCTGATATGGACTTGTGGGAAATGGAACTCAGGTAAAAAGCAAAATAAAATGCTACTCTTCAAACTGCCACTATTGTAATAAACTCTTTTGTCTCTGACCAAGGAGTCTCCTGTCTTCTTCTAATATCCATGAAATTTTGGTGGACAAAACTACTACTTTACAAGGAGGGCAAAATCTTAGATCCTACAGAATTTTTAAAAAGATTATGAGATCTTATTTATGAAAAGTAAATGAGAGGTGTGCATGGTAGAAACTCCCCTTCAGAGGTGAAAGGAAAAATTAGTTTTAGCATTTGCTGAGTTACAAAATATAAAGGAGATCTAGTACAGCTAGCCGACATCCCTGGTCTCTGTTTCCTCATCTAAAGAATGGAAGAATGTTAACACAATTTTCTGAAGACAGTTAGCAAAGCTCCTAATTCTGGAGATTTAAAATCATAGATGTAAGGGAAAAAAATATAATATGAAATGTATAGTCACTGAACAAAGAAATATGAAAAATAGTATGTAAAAGCTAAAGATAAAAATTGTGATGACAGCAAGTACAAAGTTTATTTCATGCATATTGAAATATTTATCTATAGTATATGATAAAATAAAAATTCTCTTTTAAGTTGTGAATCAAAGAGAAAATAAAGGATCCTGTGACAAAGTTCAAGTAAAATATTTTCATGATACACGAATGCCACTGAAGTGAAAAATCTTCTATAAGACCACCCAACCTTGACAAGTGTATTCATATGGGATTTAAAGAGTAATATTTGTATGACATACAGTAGGTGGTCTTTTGCGTGGGTGAAAAATTCCAGCTGACTTTGGTTCACGGATGCTGCTACAAGAATTATGATGAATTCCCACCTATGGAATAAAGTTAACTTAAACTTCAAATTCTGCTGTCAGAACTATAATCCTTCTTTGTGATGAAACATTCAAAGTTCTTAATCACCTCTGTATGTAGACCATGTATCTATCAATTCAGATATATATAGAAATAGATATAGCTATGGATCAGTATGCACATCTAGATAATATATACCCACAGATACAGCTTTTCATTTAAATTGCTTATATTTATCTTATTGATTTGGTTATCTGGGAGCTCAAATGTAAAATTATTAGCACTAATGTTAATTTATGTTTTCTAGCACAACTGCATTCCTTTACATGAATTTCTGTTCTCTATTCCTTTTCTTTTTTTATACACTTTTTTTTTTTTACCAAAAATTAACACAAGTCACTTTAGAAACAGAAGTAATAACTGCCTATGTATATTTATGTGTCTTCTCATTTTAAATGAAGACTAAATGAAATACAGCATAAATAAGGTGGTAACTTTCTTAGCTCATTAGAAAATCAAAACAAAGGTGCCATTTCAAAGTACAACAAGGAAAAAATTTGAAAGACAACAGTTGTTAAGTTCAGTCAGAATTCCAGGTGAAGTATGCTAACTTACTTGCAAATGTCATCTTCTGGGTCTTCCAGCCCAAATCTTTCATCAAATGTAAGTTGTATCCACACATTTTCCTCTGCTACTAATCTCCATACCAAGACCATATTTCTTGGGTAAGTATGAGGAAACCTTGGGCTGTGAATACTCCCATTTGTAGACACAGTAATAATTCTCTCATGCTGGGGATTTTGTACTCCTAAAGGAAAAACATAAGAGATGGACATTTTTTTAGAGGAGATATTTTAAAAATTATAGGTTTTCAAAATTTCACATTTTACTCCAAACAAGTGTTCAGTACACTTGTGAACAATATAAACCAAGCACCACTGTTTTCAAACCACATAAAAAAGGTTATTTCAACATTATTAAATAAAATCCTATGTTTTAATTCTTTAATCCTACTTAAAGAATACAGCAAATTCATCTTTTTAAAGCTAATTACCAAAGTGTCAATCATCAGCTCTGTAGAATCCTAAAATCACAATAAAGCTGAGTTAAGATTCAAATTTCCAAGAAATTATCAAACATAAACCATATTACAATAAAAATAAGCTTCATATACTATTGCTTTTAAAAATACAAATAATGAGGCTGGGGCTGGGGCTTGCAGTAGAGCACTTACCATGCATGTGTGAGGCACTGAGTTCAATTCTCAGCACCACATATAAATAAATAATGATCTATCAATAATTAAAAAAATTAAAAATGCAAATAATGATTAATGTACCCTAATTGTAAACAGCAGAGCCCAGGGAATAAGTAATTTAGAGTTTGTATGAATATCACATATGAGAAAATATGAGATAGTTGAAGAAAAAGAAATGTGAGGATAAAAGAGGCAGAAATTGAATAATAAACTAAGAAGTTATTTGCTCTTCTTATTGATCTATTAAATGTCAATCAGCACACCACACCACATGCCATTTAAAGCTTTTTACCTGCTTCTTACTCTTAGTGCTTTCAAAACAGAGCTGACAAAATAATCTTAAAAACTTATGCTTACTTAGGGGCCCATAATTTTGGAAGAAGGATCATCCAACACAACCTCAAAATTTCACATGAACTGAAATTACTAAAGGAACTTAAAATGTAAAAATGAGGTCAAAGTTATGGTCTTAATATGTTGTTATGAGGAAAATAGTAAGCATTAATCAAAGATGTTAAAATATAAGAAATTTTGCAGACCACCTCAGGGCCTACATATACTCACTTGAATTCTGAATTTTCAGAGGACAGCATGAAATAGATTCCAAGTTCATTAGGCATGGATTACTTTACATCTTGAATTATTTTACATCTGCTAAAGTATGTTGTTAATAACATCTTTCTTTTGATTTGAATGTTGGGAGAAATATTGAGGGGAAGGGCAAATTAGCATTTCTAAAATAAATCTGTTTTTATACCCACCAATTTGAGAGTTAAGTGAAAATTCATAATTGCTATTTGTCAAATGAGCAGTCATTCTCTCACTCAAAAAACCCCTGAGAAGTAAGACAGCTATGGTGTTCAAGCCAGAGAGTCCATTTAAGTAGATTAAATACTACTACTACTACTAATACTACAATAATAATAATAATAATAATAATAATAATACTTTTAAACTATCCTTCATTCAATTTGCAATGTAATTTTATAAATTTTTAAAGCCCTAAACAGCAACCCAAACACATAAAGTGGGGAGGGGGTATTCATTTCCTCTGATTCTGTTAATTCAAACTGCAAAGCACATAATGAAATATTCATGCCAAGATATCTAACACTCCATATTTTTGGTCAACATTTATACACTCATAACTTCATGAGAACAGATTTAACCATAGTAATTCTGCATTCATTTTGATGACTGAGAGATCTACTCCCCAACACTGAACATTGGTTTGTAGTTACAGAAAGATAAGAGTATGATTATTCATTTACCCCTCTCTCAACATCCAATGCCATAGACATTTATATTTACTTGACATAAATAAGATAAATCTCATTTAATTCATTTCCTCTTGTCCTTTCCCTTCAAACTTCAATACAGATTTAGTAAGTCCTATTAAATTGTCAATTTTACACTTTACATTTTTCTTCTTTGCATTTCTATTAAGAGTTTCCTCCCTTTCCTCTTCTCTATGACTTTCATTTGCCATAACTTAATTCCCTTTTAACTAACAGATTTACCAGTCCCCTGTTTCCCTACTCAATATCTTAAACTTCCTGATTGCACACCGGAGATCTCACTTCCTAAGCGGTAGACGGAAGTCTAAGATGACCCCCAACATTCCTCATCTCTCAATAAACCCCTCATCGTAGTGAGCAACCATGGGCTATTGCTCCCAGGAGCAGGTTAATTGAGTCTGAGTTAATCAAAAGGCAGACAATTTAAGTGGGCCTAAACTAATCAACTGAGGCAATAAAAGAAGCTGGGTCCTTCTTCAGCTCAGAGGATTCAGAGTGTGAGGGAGAGTCAAAAGGAGAGAGATTCTTTGTTGCTGACTTTGAAAATGAAAGAGGCTATCTGGCAAGGGATGTGAGAAGCCCCTGGAAGCTAAGAGTAGACTATGACAAGGAAGGGGGACCTGAGTCCTAAAACACCTACCATCTGGAAGAACCTAGACACACATTCATTTCCAAGGCCTCTAGAAACAAGGCTTTTTGATTTTAGCCTTCTGAAACCTTGAGCAAAGCCCAATAACAGGAGGCCTTCCCTTCTGCCATGGGGACAGGAGCATTAACAAAGGGAATTTTAAGCTGCCAAAGTTGTGATAAGTTCTTACATAATATTAGAAAACAAAAACCATTCTATTGTTGTGGAAAGCTGGTTAGGTTGAAGGTATGTCTTTGTGTTCTAATCTCCAGCACTAATTATAGTAATTATACCTACTTTTCTTTTGCTATTCATGTTAGGCAGACTATGTTAACATTATTTCACATTGATAAATGTATCTAAGAAACTTCTTGAATTTAAGAGACACTTCAAGACAAGGGTCATGAATTCCTTAGAATATTATTAAGGTTAATTAATAATTAAAATTGTTTTGAGCAGTGTAAGGATAAAAACCATTTTAAAAGATGTATTTGTGACTTTTAAAATTACATAATCTAATGCTGCCTTTCTTCTCATGAAAATTGCCTAAATTTTCATGATCAATAAGCAGTTTATTCGGTATCACGTTCCCCCACACTGGATGCTAATATCTGATATTGCTGTTGACTATAAGAATTTATATGAAATTATTATTACTTCTTTTGTGCCCATAATTTAGCACCGATATATCTCCTAACACAGATGGCACTATCAAGTGAGATGGATTTTCCACATACTGACAAACTACAACATTATTAAGGAAATGATGATTGTTAACTATTCAAATTAAATTCTTGAACTTTGGTTACAAATATTTCCTTTAAAACAAGCTGTTGTGGGCTGTGGTATCATATACCTGTAATCTCAGTGTCTCAGGAGGCTGAGGCAGGAGGATCACTAATTCAAAGCAAGCCTCAGCAATCTCGTGAGGCCCTCAGCAACTTAGTGAGACCCTATCTCAAAATAAAAAATAAAAAGGGCTTGGGGGCTGGGGATGTGGCTCAAGCGGTAGTGCGCTCGACTGGCATGTGCAGGGTGCTGGGTTCGATCCTCAGCACTACATAAAAATAAAATAAAGATGTTGTGTCCACCGAAAACTAAAAAATAAATATTAAAAAATTCTCTCTCTCTCTCTCAAAAAAAAAAAAAGGGCTGGGGATGTGCTCAGTGGTAAAACACCCATGGGTTCAATCTCTGGTTATTAAAAAGAAAAAAAAAAAAAAAGAAGCAAAAACGATCATTCTCTAAAGTTTCTTCCAATAATTACATATTTCAGAAGTATTTACAGTAATAGCTTATATTTAGGTGACTAATTTTTTTAATGAATTAGTTTTTCAGGACAGATTTATTAAAATTGAGTATCTGTCTGCTGAGTTTCTAAACAAATGACTCTGCTTCACAAACAACTGTGTTTACTCTTTCATTTAAAATCTAGAAAACTACATGGCTATTAAAAGATCTGAATTCTATTTTTATATCTTCAATCAAAAAAGCTCATGGCTAACATGCATATACTTAAACTTAGGTTAACATAGTTTTCCTTGTAATTCATAACTGTGTTAGAGTATAATTAAACATCATTTAAAGACTTGACAATCTAGCCTGTATCTGTGGTTAAAAAAAAATTGTAATTTCTTTTTAGATTAAATTGCTGCACCCAAAATATTCACCTAAACATGCCGTCAGGTTTGCTACCCAACATGTGATCTGCACATGACTATCAAAGTTTTATGTGAATCTCAAGCACCGAGGGCCTGTAATCAAGATGAAAAAAAAGAAAGAAAAAGCAACAAACATTAAGTTCTACAAAATAAGAACTCTGAACTTAACAGTTCTGTTGTTTTAAACATCATCTTTTCAAACATAAGGTTATTATATTTTAGAGATGAGACAAGTATGCAGTGTTTTTGTGACTACTCAAGGTGCCAATTAAATAAAACACATTTGTAGTCGAATGACTAAAATATTGACAATGTGATCCTTGCAATGTATACTGAAACAAGAATAAATCTTGTATAGCTTAGATTTAAAAAGAAAAATATATGTAAACACTAAATTCTGAAAATTGTAATTATGCACAAAGTCATTTTATGTGGTTCAACTCTTCTTAAGGTAGGAGTACTGAAAATTAAAATGAAGAAAAATATATTAAAAAGGAAAACAAAAGTGATTAATGATGTAAACAGTGTAAAATAGTTGACTATATGTATGTATATATATACATACATATACAATTTAATTATATAGATATATTATACTCTGTATGTATTAAATCACAGCAATTAAAATCACAGCAACTCCAAAATGTTTGCCTTGCATGACACATGGTTTACACATTTAAAAATTTATTTGTTAAGGATGAAAGAGAGTGATAGTAAGAGAATTATAAAAATAAATAAAAGTTGTAATATTTCAAAATGATATACTATTAAGAAAGATAGCACTAAAAAAGAAGTTTAAGGATAACATATAACTCATAAAGATAAATGATACATGTCTTTCTGTATTCTAATATTTTAAATTGATTTTAGCATAAAAGTTCAGAAATGAGAATCTGGGGGAAAAACAAAACAAGTCTCCAATCTTGGTTTGGTTTTACCAGCTTTAAGAATTCTGCTTCTGTT